ATTTGGGCTATCCTACCATAAGCTTGTAGGAGCCTTGACCTCAATGAAATATGCCTTAATTATGAAAACACAAAGTATAAGTAGATCAAATAGAGTACCCCAAGAATGTGTTTCTTGGGTAGAATATTCTATTATTTTGAAGTTTGCATCATTTAACTCCGTGGGTCCCCTCATATTATCTAATATTGGAGTGATCCACCCTCTTAAATAGTATCATAATAAGTTGGCCAATATTAGATTGCTTAATAATTAGCTTTCTTGATAATGGTAAATAAGCTATTATCTCCTCAATTAATCATCTTACCCAACAAGATGGGGATTAATTCATTATGAGAGAGGGAGAGAGGGAAATTATCTATGGTGTTCATTAAAAAGGGAGGCCTTAGTTCATATAAAGATGTAAATTCATTGACCTATATTTACTCTTTAATTATAAACTTGATTCTTGGTCAACTTTAAACTCTATATGATTTTCTTGTGTCATGCACCATCTAGTTATTCATTATCCCCCAAACACTTCATTGTAGTAGAGCATAATGTTGACAATTGTACAGAATTATCCCTCCCTCTCTCCCTCTATTCTTCAATAGAATAGTATAATACTACATCTAGCTCTATGATTTGTGACTTCCCGACTATTTAATATCAATTTAGTAAATTAGGAATTTGTAAAAGCCCTTTTCATCCCACTCGTTTAATAGAAATGGTTCACACTCGGTATACCAAGTATAGGTAACAATTATAATTCTATATAATATTGTCTTCCTCTAAAAGGTCATATCAAGAGAATTATTAGGATGAAAAAATATAAATATTATTATTCTTAGCTATAGATTGATCTTACAATAATAGAGTTGGACCATTTCTCCCTCCTATGATAGGGATAAAAATAATGTATAAACAATGTAGCTCTTCCCTTATATATATCACCGAGGATATTTGCCAACCTATTATCCCTTGTATGATATTATAATGCAAAATTAGATAATCTTAATATATAGCCCCCTACAAGGAATTGATGTTGGTTGACATTTTGATGGACTTGTAATAACAAATCTGGTTGTGTCAAGATAGATTGTAATTCTTTCTTAAGAGAATCAATGTTAGTGAGCAAGGGCATTCGGAGGACATTATAGGATGACCTTCATTGTCATTAGTGACAATGATAATTCACCATAATTGATATGCTCTAATTGAGAGGGAAAATATTAGGCCATAATAATCCCTCTCTAGTATAATTGCTAAATAATTCCCTTCCCTTTATGAACTTCTAGTTTATATAAAGTTCCCCTCCTAATATAATGGCACTCCCTCAATAGTCTTTATGAAGAGCGTTGGATATATGGGTATTGAAACGAAGAGGGAGAGGGAGAGAGGGAGAGTGAGATAGGGATAGAGGGAAAGAGAGGAGGAAAGAGGAAGGAAAAGAGAGAATGGGAGAGAGAGAAATGAATTAACTAATTCATTTCACTTGGTCATCCACTTCTTAAAATAAAGTAATCTACTTGGTAATAGTAACTTATTTAAGCAAGTTTAAAAGATCATATAGACTTGAAGTTATATGATTATATGATTATAGTCTTATGGTATTGCAATTCTATAGGGAAAAGGGGCTTCTCATCTTACTCCCCTCGGAGAGGGAAGGCCGATCTATCCTTAATAAATGGTCTCCCTACTCTCCTTTTATAAATGGGAAAATGATTAGAGGTGATTTTTCAAGAGATGGGCAAGGATGAAAATTGCATTATACCTTATATATGATTCACACAATTGGCTATAAAATAGAGAGGGGAGAGAGATAGACTATCCATGATTAGCTAATAAATAAAGAGGAGGGAGGGAGGGAGAAATTAGGTGATATATCTTAGTTACAAATTCTAGGAGGGTAATCACCATAACCTAAAGGAAAGGTATTTTATGCTTAAGCATATTATTAACTGATATCGTTAACGAATATTATGATTGAAATTGGTATTCTTTTAAAAGAACCACTTAAGGTCGATAGTACCATATAGTATTGCCTCATATCTATAAATATCCATATTCTATAATAAGAATTATATTTCAGTGGCATAGGCCTATATGATTCCCCATGCGTGTGCTGACTTATACCTTATTTAACCCATTTATTGCACATAGGTCCGTTTCTCCCTCTCTAATAAATACAATTATGTTGTTATGCTATATAAATTAGTACATGCCAACTTGAAAGTAATATATATATATATATATATATATATATATACTTGGAAAAGTTAATTATATGACTTTTATGTGTGTGAATAGTGCCTATCCGAGGAGAAGATAGTCAAAGTAGGATGAGTAATCAAAAAAAATATTAAAACCCCTTGAGAATCTTAAGGAGAGGGAGATAAACAGGTTCATATTAGTCCATCATTATACGAGGGAGAGTTTTCAATCTAAATCCATGGAAATTAGACTTAGGATTTGATAATGATATTATACAAGTTTGGTAATTTACTTTAACATAACCCCTCTCTCATGAGACCATCTATCATTTAGACTCCATTACTATAAATTATCTCACCACATGGCTAGCTAATTTAAATATCAATGCGATTCATCATATTTGACTTGAATTAACAACCTATCTTAATCATATATATAGGAGTCTAAATGAGAGATGAGACCTCCTTTCTTAGCAATGTTAGAGAGAAGGGGATGGGGAAGAGTGTTCTTCCCATAATTACATTAATACATGATAGAGAGGGAAAGATGAAGGAATATTAATAGAGTCATTGACAAAGGTTAGACACCAATGAAGTGCTATATAATGTTGCTTAAAGGAAAGATGAAGGATTCCATATAGTGTTAAACCTCTTATTCTAGCACTCCCATAAATAGTATTTTAACATTATGTCATGGAAAAGATATGGGTCAAATACTTAATTATTGTTAAATATATGGTAAACACCTTGATTGATTGATTTGGGTGATAGGGTGAACATTCTATCAATAAAGTACGTTTTCCCCTCTATGTTCGTGCATATGATGTCTATAAAATAATAGAAGTTTGGGACAAGTATAACAGATTGGACTTGAATTAGTTAACCCTCCTCTAATGGACCTGAATTTAAAACTAGTGATGGACCAAGCATGTCCGTTCTTGTGTTTATAAAATTGGTTGATATGAATATGGACTGGTCAAATCTCAATGTTATCATCAACAAGGAGATGGGCTATTTCATTTTGGGCCCAATCACAAGGGCTAGGGCCAAGAAGTTTCATGAGTCCTTAAATGGACGTATTCAATATCAATGGGCTGATTTCTCCATCATTAGGCTTAATGAATATCAATGGAGCCTTGTGAATCTGATCCATGCTATTGGGGTGAAAGTTTTGGACTCAAAGTCCAATCTGGTTGTTCTTATCTTAATGTTTTCTACCAAGATTGTTAAGTGACAACTATAGAATCAGCCCACTTCCAAGCCAAAATCACCATTATTTTCAAGTCAACAAAATCAAGCATTAGGGCCGAAATTCTAGATGCTGAATTCAAGGAGTTTTCTTCCAAATTCAAGGAGTCTTATTCAAAGCTTTATTAGATCTAGTGTAACTTTAATCAACTTTGTCTTTCTGAATTTCTAGTAGCCTATTTATGTAAAGGTAATATGTATTTCTTTTTTCATCAACCTTTGAATCAAATCAACCTTTGTGAGAAAATTCACACCTTAGTTCTTTCTAGAACTGAATTTCAGAACTTATCAAGAGTCTAATTCGATTCTTGTGGTATTTGAGTGACTTATCACTCCCTTTCTACCCTTTCTAGATGTGACATCTATATCCTTCCAATCTGATTTGGCTTTTCTGGAATTCTTCCTTCTTGCTCGTGGGTTCTCCAGCCATCGAGCTAAGCGGGTTCACATCGGTTAGTATCGGAGCTTGGCTCTAAATCAGGTTCTTTTTTTGGGTATCTTTTGTTCTATTGCATGTCTTTGTAGTTTTCTTTTAGTCTCAATTGAGTCAATTTCAAATTCAAGAAAAAAAAAACAATAAGCTGGTTTGATTCGATTCTATCCAGTTTGTTTAAAATCATTATTTGTCTTGTTAAACTAAGTCTGATCTTCTTCAGAAATTTTCTCTTCTAGTTCCAAATCATTGAAAACGTCTCAAGGCTACCAAAAAAGATTTATTGTAATATATTCTACCATTAAACAAAAAAAGAAAAAAAAAGGTAGTAGCAAATCTATATATCATTTGGTTTGAAATCAATAACTAAAAAGAAAGTCTTTGTGTGTGCTAAATTGATTGTGTTTAGCTTGTTTTTATTGTCAAATTTGTTCAAAATCAATATCTCTAAAGTCCAAATTATTGTGTATGAGTTTAGCTCATTAGGACAAATCTGTCAAAAAAATCAATTCTAGAGTCTTTTTTTTTAGTTATCTTGTGATCAATCAATTCTATCCAAAAATCTAGCTTTATAGATTGAACTTCTTATCATTATTTAAATTCAATCCTATCTGAAACTATTATTTGTATGAAATTTCAGTTTGTATTTTTGTTGTTTAAACTATCCGAATCCATATTTCTTTGGGTATTAAAAAAAATCATGTCTTCATCATCATATTCTAAAAAGCAAATTCGACATGATTTATGGCGACTAGAAACACAAGAAATGGAATGACCAATGCCGAAGGATCCATTTGAGGCTCTCCAAATTCAAATCAGACGTATGAAATGAATGATTAAACTTTATGAAGAAGAGGCACTCTAGCAACAAAATGAGGCAATTGAAGTTGCAAATTCCAAAGACCATAGTACCAACATAGAGGTTGATGTGGTTGAAACTTCTAAAAAGTTCCAACAACATGATGAAGAATCGAAATCTTAAAATTTTGAGGTTGTTATTGCCAACAAAGAGGTTCATGAGGTTGAATTTGTAGGTGTAAAAAACACTTCGAAGTTCAGCAAAAGTGTTTACAAAGTTACTGTCTTTGACAATGCTATAAACATAAAAAATTTTGACAACGAAGTCACTAATGTTGCTACACTTTCCGAGCTTGTTAAAAGATGGGGACATTAACAAGGCTATCAATAAAGGAATAATCGAATGTGATGCTACTACCATTAAAGTGTCATACAAGAGTGATGATCTTATAATTGATTTTCTTGGTGTTGATAATTCGAATAGTAGAAGGTCTAGTTCATCAAAGCTTACCTTTGATGACATTGGATATAAAATATTTGAATATGTGAATTGGGTTTTTAGCCACCTAAATGATGGTTACTTTAATTTTTTTGTAACTGATTTCGTCATTTGTTACCCACAAGGTAAGATTCGAGGATGAATCTTTTTGGAGAGTGGGGGAATGATAAGAATATGGGCTGCTCAAATATCAATGTTATCATCAGCAAGGAGATGGGTTGTTTCATTTTGGGCCCAATCACAAGGGCTAGGGCCAAGAAGTTTCATGAGTCCTTAAATGGGCCTTTTCAATATGAATGGGCTGATTTCCCCATCACTAGGCTTGAAGAACATCAATTAGGCCTTATGAATCTGATCCATACTATTGGACTGAAAGTTTTAGACTTAAAGTCCAATCTGGCCAAACATTCTTATCTTGATGTTTTCGATCGAGATTATTAAGTGACAACTATAGAATCAGCCCACTTCTAAGACAAAGTCACCATTATTTTCAAGTCAACAAAATCAAGCTTTGGGGTCGAAATTTTAGATGCTGAATTCAAGGAGTTTTCTTCCAAATTCAAGGAGTCTTATCCAAAGCTTTCTTAGATCCAATGTAACTTTAATCAACTTTGCCTTTCTGAATTTCCAGTAGCCTATTTATGTAAAAGCAATATGTAATTTCTTTTTTAATGAATCTTTGAATCAAATCAACCTTTGTGAGAAAATTAACACCTTAGTTCTTTCTAGAACTGAATTTCAAAACTTATCAAGAGTCTAATTAGATTCTTATGGTGTTCAAGTGACTTATCACTCCCTTTCTACCCTTTCTAGATGTGGCATTCATATCCTTCCAATCTAATTTGGCTTTTTAGGATTTCTTCCTTCTTGTTCGTGGGTTCTCTAGCCATTAAGCTAGGATTAGGGAGATATGTCCGTTATATGTTGAAGAGGTATGATTACTCCTTCGTTCATAATATTAGTCATTTCTTGAGTTTAGGGAGATATGTGAGAGCACCTCTTATGTGTTAGTACATCTTTTTAGTACTAATTAGAGGCTTAAATCTGTATAAGGAGCCCATATCTTATTAATTTTCTTGTGTGATTATATTATTCGAGAAAGATGTTATAATATTACAAAGGTAAGCAATGTCTTCCTTGAGGGCTCATCTCTTCTCTTTCGTTCAACATAAATATATTATACTAACTAATAAACTAGTAACTAGTATGGTAGGTAATATGGGGTGATTAATATAATATTATAATATCAATCTTTTTTATGAAGAGCATAGAGATTGGTGTGATTGGTATGCGAATAATAGTAGGTATAATTTTATTAGGAACACTCCCTTTCCTCTCTTAAGATGGTGCCACTTTGAATGTTAAAATTTACAATTGTAGATGAACTTTAAATATAAAGGAATAGATTAATTCCCTTTGGGATAAATATATGTTGCTAACGCCTTGGCGTAATAGTCCTTATGAAATCGATACACTAAAGGTCATTTAACTATTCTTAAGTCTCAATTAATAAGTTTTCCAAAAGTTGATATATTTCTTTTCTGTATGATTTCTCTCCCCACTCTATCCCTAGAGCTATTATAGTCGCACCCTATTTAGGTTAAATAGGAGAGGGAGGAAGCAAGGTTAGCTTCTATCCTCATATGATAGATAATCAAAGAGTACATATCCAAGTAATTAAAATTCAATGACAATAATTACTTGCTTTAAATTAACTAATTATTCCTATCCTATTGCAAAGCTATTGTCATTGACTTTTTAAATATAGCTCATAATAAACTAGGTCCAAGCTATGATAGTCTCAATAGGTACTATTAGAATAAGAAATGAAAATAAGATCTTTAGTCTCTACTAAAATAATAATGATTAGGTCTTAGCACATTCCTACATGGTAGTGCTAGCTCATAAATACCTATATATAATGGTCCAACTCTTGATCCATAGTAGTCATATAGATATTTTTCCTTGAAGCTATCTTTTTAGCAAAGTAGAGTCATTAGTATCTCTATGTGAGGATTGAATTTTCCAAGTGTATACCAATAGATATTTTCAACTTGATTATTTAAATTATTTATAATCTATCTAGTTTGGACCTAGTTACAACTATTATAATGTCATGGAACCATGTTGTTTATAATTGGTATATTAAATAGTCGTAATATTTGTTATTCCTTTATTAATAAATTGCATGTTTGAATACCAAGCGAATCAATATGATCTTGGATAATATTAACCTATTAATTGAAACGAACATTGTTGGCTATAATATGAGATAACTTGCAAAAGATAGGGGGTTGATATTATCTTCATCTCCAATACGGTAGGATATTATTTGAGGAGAGGTTAAGTCTCTACAATTAAGAGACTTATTAGTTAAACCTAATCCTTAAACATGTTACTCCTAATATATATATATATATATTATCATCTTATAATTGAAAGTTTTAATAGATACTAATATTTACTAATTATAATAATACTTAAAATAATAATATTATATTGATAGTGGGAGGGAGAGAGGATGTTAACTAATAATATTTGGGTATATATATACACACACCCCATATAAGCGCAATATTTAGCAAAGAGGGGAATAATTGCCAACATCAAGCGGTGAAGATTTGTTATCAAAATGCATACATCTATCTCTATTTATAACGAGAGAGTGGAGGAGATATAATTTAACATTGATTTAACAAAAATCTAGTTCTTTGCCAACATTATATCTAGTTATGTCATTTTGGGGGGGGGGTAGAATTAACCCCTCTCATGATTGAGGTTGATTTGCCCTATTTGTAAAAGTTATATATATAACTAAGCTAGATAAGGCCCTCTTAGGTCTCTCTCATAGGGGAACCCACATGGATAATGATAATTTAGATAAAGGGCCCTATGCATATAACACATACCTAAATTAATTTTCAATATAATTTCTTAAATTATAATCACGTTTTATCATAAAGCCATCTATGTTTTCATCATCCCCTCCATTGAGTTACTAAATGCACTATCATTAAACGTTATGTGACAATAAGATACATTTTTAAGCCCTACGCTGGTCACCTAACATGTCCCTCCCTAATAAGTCAATATCTTATAATTCACTCAAATATAAGACAATATAAAGATTATCTTTTAGGAGGGATAGTTATGGAGTTATATTTTACATGAATAAGATCATAATGGAGTAATATCTAATGGAACAATCTTTGTCATCTCCCTCTTTGACCAATTAATATGACGAATAATCATGGATGCTTCATTTATAACTATCCCTCCTTATAGTAAGATATATCTCTCCCTCTAATTGTAACTAGTATCTAGATAAAGACATTGATAATCAATATTATTGAAGGCTAGATTGTTTTTACGTGATATCAACTACATGAAAAGGTTTTCCTATTGTAAAGGTATTTGGAGCCTATAAACTTGTGATAGAGAGAGGTCAAGAGAAAGAGGCCTAAACACTAGCCTTCAATAATGAATTAAGAAACCTCGAGTTCAACTAATAGCAAGGTCACGGTAGGAAAGATTTCCTTGTGTGTATATAATTATTATTTACAAGTGTTATTAATAAATTATTATAATTCGCTTAGTCATCTTCACTTCAATAGAAGCTATCCAAATAATATCTGTGATAAACTATTGCTAACTTCGTCCCCTATAGGGATAGGGGTTTACAATTATATTTGTAAGGAGCTTGCATTACAAGAGGGAAATTTTACCAAATATTAATTTGTATAACCATTCTAGCCCCGGTGAATACTAGATGGTCATTAGTAATCACGAAATATTATGCTCATTAATTAGATTATATACAAATACTAAACATTTAACAATAATTTATAGGATTATTTAGTTCTCACTTTATCCTCCAATATTAATATAGGACCTTGTATATCCATCTATTATTTAGTTTCACTATACCCCGTTAATTATTTGATACACCCATTATGTAACCATAGGCTAATAAGTATTAGTTATATGAACTCGTAATAAAAACCCATAGCTCCATGTTATTGACTAATGATTACTTTATTAAGATAATTTTAATACGTAACCGTAAAAGATATGAGTAAAAGATTATGATTAACTAGGTTGTTAGTAGTAAATAATAAGAACTATTGATAATATATTGGGATAACTGATGGTGGGATAGTCCCTCATCATTTTAAGAATAGGCCAGAATAAATCATATATACCTATTAGTAACAATTTTTGCATTAGATAGGTTGATGAAAATGGTTAGCCTCTCTCATATTGTCATCAAATATTAGGTTCATTATACATATAAGTCTGTATAAATATACTATGATGGTTAAAGTTTCATTATGGATATAAGCTGAATCATTAACGACATATCTTTTACTTGAATGTAAATATATTCCTTAGGGGTAATTCTCTCAAATAACCTCTAGATGGTTATATTTCCTCCTCTTAGTATGATAGTAATATATTTTATTACTAATAATGTTAATGATATATCCCTATAATGAAAATTCAGCTTAAAGAATTACCCCTAGGTAACAATAAATAATATATTGGATGAATTGATCATTGGGCCATATTTTATGAATCAAAGATAATCTTCACCATCTAACTACCATGGGAATTATCCTTAAGTTGATATAACTATGGTTTAAATAGCTATAATTGTATATTAATAATATATATCTTATATAGCTATAATCTGCCTACGTATTAATAATCTCATGGTAGTTAGATGGTGAAGATTACCTTAATATTAAGGCCATATTAAGGGATTAGTATGGACTAATGTTGGTAATTAGGAGAGTTATTAGCCATACATTTGATCAACTAATATGTATTAATATCTACAATGATAAGGACTCATTATCAAATTATGAGTTAGTAAGCACTTGCTAAATTACCTAACATATTGGAGTGCCACCATACATAAGATTACAATGGTAAATAGTTGAATAGCCGTGTTGGGTTATAAGAGGATATGCATTACATCACAACTATATTTTGTCTTGAGGTCATCGATAGTTTAATTGTGGTTCTCGATATAGTTGATTTCTATATCTCAACTATTGTTAATCCAGCTTGATAG